GTGTTTGAAAAATTTCTTTAAATTGCTCATTTAAAATATCACAAGTAGAACTTAGTATATAGTAGATACTTATGAGTAGGGCCTGTCAATTATTTGACGAGGGCACTAAACCAAACCAAACCAAAACAAAAAAACCAAGTTGACAGTATTTTGTTTCTTTTATGTTTCATCATTACAATTTCATTTTCTCCTAGGACTATCAGACCTGGCTTGACCTTAGAGAATTTGAAACTCGCATTGGAGAACGTTACATTACACATGAAAGTGATGACGCTCGCTGGGAAGTACATGCATACACACATAACCTTGTATACCCAAAGCACTTCATTATGGCTCCTAATCCAGATGATATGGAAGAAGATCCTTAATCATTGAGCTAACCTAAATAAGGAAGGATTTCATTTTATGGACTGATATTTTGCTATGTAACTTGTTCTCTGTAGGTTGTCATCTGCAGGGATGCAAAGATATGAGGAAATATGATAAGGAATCAGTGACACCAGTACTGTAGTTCATAATGAGTAGGTACAGGCAGGAAACTGAATAATAAGAAGTCATAATTGAATCAAGGTGAAACTTTTTATAAACTTCTTTAGCCTAAGCAATAACTGGTTTTGTATTTTTTCTTAATCCTTCACTTTAATACAATAGGACCACTTAATTTGTCTTTCCTTTCCTGTTTTTTTATATATATATATGTATATGTTTTGTTTTAAGCAAAAACAAGGCAAGCTAGCATCCAGTTACTATATAGCTTGGCTAAATTTATACAAGACTTACAAAATTGGTTACTCAACATGCTTGTATTTAAGAGAGAACTATGAGGCTACCATTATGTGATGTTACTACAAGGACTTTTAACATTGGTTTAACCCAGCATAGAGGCATTGAAGGGTTTTTCTTAGATGCCTAGAAAGAGAGCACTGGGCTGTTTCACCTTTCTTTTTTAGGTCAATCAAGACTCCAAAGTAGTGATTCCTAACCTTTTTGGAGTTGCTCTGCTACTCTGAATATGTTCTGTACAACATAAGGATTGTCACCTTCTGTATGTTGCAACAGCTTCTAAGATAATTAGGGACTAATGATGTTACAAAAGGAAGAGTACTGCTGGTCTAAGTGCTGAGTTTTACGTCTTTTCATAGCTCCACTCTGCTGCTAAATATGTATTCTGACACCATCCGGATGCAAGTACTGGATTCCAGCATTCAGCAGGTGCAGATCTCAGCTTTACACAATTTATCTTTACCTAGGGTTCAGCCAGTAATTTCTGCTTTTTAGCAGGGTCAGTTAATACTACAGTTACTGTATAGCAAACAGTATCCTTTTTTCTCCTTCCCCCAGCCTATCGGGCTTTGCGGGTATCTGGAGTGTTTTAAAATCAATTATTTTAAGCAGTTTGGGTGGATGGGTAGGAGTGGGGCATGAAACAGTTTATAAGGCTGGGGCTATATTATCAACGCAGCAAATTAAAGAATGAAGACTTCTTTTTACATTTCAGCTCCAGCAGCCAGGTGTTTAAAAACTATTTTTAAATGTCTTCCCCAAAGAGAGTTTAAGATGTGGGACCATCTACTTCTAAGAAACAGTGGCTTTTTATTTCTTCATTTCTCAGTAATCATTGTAAACCTTTTTATTATTATTATTATTTTCCTTCTCCACTCTAACAAGAGTAAGAGCAAAACTCTTTCTCAAGTCTTGGATCCACTACTTGTTTGTTATGTTGGCCTGGACAGATGGCAGGTCTGTCTGCAGTTCCTCAGTCTGTAAAATGAATATTATCATTCTTGCCTCTACCTTTGTCACAGTGTTGTGAAAATCAGATACATATGAATGTAGTCAAATAAACTGAAAACTAGGAAAGTGTTAACTATCATTGCCCACCGAATTTGAGGTAGCAAAAAAAAGTGTTCTTGTATAAGAACAGACTGAGAAGCAGCCTTTCGAGATCCCTGAAGCTAGTTTCCTATCTAGACTAAAAATAGCCTCGAAAGAATAGTAGCAAACAGTATGCAGTGCTCCTGTGTTCTAAGTTATTTTATGTTTTAGTTTACCCTCACAACAGCCATAATGTTAAGTCATTATGAGCTCCATCTTAAAGATAAGAAAACTGAGGCAAGGGGAGATTAACCTACTGCCAAATTTCAAACAGTTAGTATATGTATTTGACACCAGTAGTATGGCTCTAATCTTACCCTTAGCCCTCCCAACCATTATGCTATACTCTCTACCCATAAATACCTCCAGGACACATTTCCCTCTTGGTCATTTGTCCTTCTATAGAAGCTTCAAAGATTAAACCAAATTAATTTTCAAAAAAAAAATTTTTAGAAATGTTATTTTCCCTGTGATAAGAGGATGACTTCCCAGTTTCACCAAAGTCTGTTTATATCAACACACACAAAATGGAATAATTCTGAGTCGCTAGGCAGTCACTCTACTGTGGTTTTACTACGTAAGGTGAAAATTAACTGGAATGATGTTTGTTTGCTATACTTACATAATCAAACTTTACAAGCCATGAAATTAATTGCACTCTTCGTATTTGTTGCTAAATGCCTAAGAAATTTTCTAAAAATTTTGTAAAGGCACCGTCAGAGAATCTGGAGTTGAATAATTACTCCAGATACTGTATAACCTGCATAACGTTTTGTCCTTAAGTCGTGTTTGTATAAGAAGTAATTGCTAGAAACATTTGATAATGTACAAAGTAGTCTATAGTGACTGTTCAGTACATTTTTATATTTTTTTGGTTACATCCAACTTTTTGTAAATATACTGGAAGCTTGATAATAAAATGTATTTCCTATCACCATACTTTTCCATGTGAAAACCTGAGCCTATTTCTAGTAGAAGTATCCAAAGAAAAGTTTTATCTGGTTGTGTTATTTTACTAGACCTTGGTAAAAGCACTATTTTGGAAACAGTATTTGTAAATGGAACTAATGCTATATTTAAAAACACTGATTTTTTTTTTAACCTGCCAAAAATAAAAAAAAAGCTCATTTCATAATTTTATACTAAATTTGAGGTGATTATCTAAAGGTCTCATTTCTTGTAAAGTTTGGAGTAATTGTAACTATAACTTTTTCAGGAACTACCACCAAAATATCCAACTGTTATACTACCAGAAGGCTTTAAAAAGTTAAAAACCTAATATCAAACTTTCTAGGTGTGAAGATATAAAGTATTACCTGACTCTAGCCCCTTAATTATAAAAACTTTAACATCTCTGAGAGGAGCGAACTATGGATGTTTTCATCTTTCAAAAATTCTCCCAAGTCTTTGAAAAAAGAAAACAAATACAGGAATATAGAATAAGAACGACTAGGAGTGACCCAAGGCTGGGCAGCATCTGAAAAGCAAGTCCTCCGTCTTCCTTTATTTTAGTGCAGGGGTATCTAATCTAGCCACATTGGAAGAACTGTCTTGCACCAAACATAAAATACACCAACACTAATGATAGCTAATGAGCTTAAAAAAAAATTGCCAAACAAAATCTCATAATGTTTTAAGAAAGCTTACAAATTTGTGTTGGGCCACATTCAAAGCCTCCATGACATGCCATGTAGTGTGGATAGAATGCTACTCCTGTTAAGCAGAAGCAGCAATAAAAAGCAACAGTTCATCACTCCGCCAATGAACTTCTGATACAGTTAAGCCGTAAATTCAAGACATATGGCAAGTATTCCTTTCCTTTAATCTCCCTTGTAAATCTGTGTTGCTAATTTAATAATCTCCCTTGTAAATCTGTGTTGCTAATTTATTAATTCTCTAAGTCCGTGTTTCCAGTATTAACACAAAGCTTCTAAAAACCAAAAAATGAAAACACATAATACAGAACTGAAACTTGCCATTTGTCTGAAAATTATTCCTCCTGGGGTGGGGGGTGTACCTCTGCCTCCCGGGTTCAAGAGATGTGTGTGTGTGTGTACCTCTGCCTCCCGGGTTCAAGAGATTGTCCTGCCTCAGCCTCCTGAGTAGCTGGGATTACAGGCGCCCACCACCACGATTTTTAGTAGAGACGGGGTTTCACCATGTTGGCCAGGCTGGTCTCCAACTCATATTTGAACTACATGTCAAGGTTTACTGTTTCTTGCTGTGACCTTTATAATTTTTTTAAAAATTAACAGATGCACAATGTAAAAAATTTAAATACCCAGCCACTCCCTGCCCCTCAAACTCACTTCCAAATTGGGAAAATTGTGCATTCATTCCTTAACTTTGTATGCAAGTACATATCACAGAAAACCAGTGTACACTAGGCTATTCGTTTCTATGAAATTACTTGTAGATAGCTTTTCTCCTTCAACAAAAATGGAATCAACTATAAAAACTCTTGCATCCTACTTTTTTTCACTTACTAAATCTTAGAGAGTTTTCTATGTCAGAACATACTGCTGTAGCTCATTTTTAAAAATAACATATATTTTATCAGTTTCCTATGAATAGCCATTTAGTCTGTTTCCAGTTTTTATTAAACCAATCACTGCCCATGTTTACTTTTTTTTTGAGAGGGAGTTTCGCTATTGTTGCTCAGGCTGGAGTGCAATGGCACCATCTCAGCGCACCACAACCTCCACCTCCCAGGTTCAAGTGATTCTCCTGCCTCAGCCTCCCTGAGTAAACTGGGATTACAAGCATGTACCGCCATGCCCGGCTAGTTTTGTATTTTTAGTAGAGAGGAGATTTCTCCATTTTGGTCAGGCTGGTCTCAAACTGCTGACCTCAGGTGATATGCCCACCTCAGCCTCCCAAAGTGCTGGGATTATAGGCATGAGCCACTGCGCCCGGCCCCATGTTTACTTTTTAAAATAAAATAGAAATATGGCAACTAGCTTTATAAGTTAAAGGAAACTCAGTCTCACAATAACTTATTAGCTTGAGCAGACATTTGCACGAAAGCCAGTCACAACCCTAAAAGTTCTATAATTTTGGTTGTATTATATATAAAATGGACTGTTCTTGCTGTGAAAAGATAAAATACTTTCACTTTTGTTACCTGCAGTGTATGAAATGTGTTTCCTTTATTTTGATTTCTTGGGCCGACTGAAGGGGAAAATGTCCAAGCTGAAATATCACTGCCAAGCAAGTTCACTAAACCCAGCTACAAGGGATGCAAAGGGTTTTGACTGACGTGCATTCCTCTGATGTCTTCCACCTTCAAGTCTCTCATGAGGTAGCAAGGCAAAAAAGTTAAATCTCTCTCCCATCTTCTTTGGATTCATTAACATATCATATCCTTGAAGTAACTGCTGCCTCACTGATGGCTCATTTGATTTATCTAAAAGAACCTGAAAGGAAAAAAATTCTTAGCAAAATTAACCAGAAGACAGAATTCCTAGTTACATGCAGCAATACTAATGACTCTCAAATATTCCAATAAAGCACCGCTCAAAACGTGACTTCTGATTACCTGCCTGAGAATCATAGCATACTTATTAAAAATGTAGGTTGGTGTGAAACATAAGGATTTGCATTTTTAACAAATATCGCAGGGGGTTTGATCTACAGTAAGGTTTAGGTGTCCTCGGAAGAACAGTTAGAAAATTCATACCCATAAACGCAGTTTTCTTAACAAAAACACTATTTGGGAGTCTTAATGCTACCTCACATGGAAATGCATGAAACTTACCAGACTAGTTACTAAATCCTATACTACCTGAAAAGGCTGGAATACCAAGGATTGGCTAACTGTAAGAGCATTAAGGCCAGGTGAACATACGATTTAATTTTTGCAATACTATGAAATTAAAGTACTTAATAACAGTGAAATAAAATAAACCTTACCTTCAGCCGGACATCAATACCCATATTTTTTAAAAATGTGTGTTGTTTTATTGGGCCCAGAGAGGCTACTTTTCCCTGTGCCATTCTTCGTAAATAACTGAAGTCCACATCAGCTGTTAGATCTGCTGTTCCTGGGGCAATTAAGACATCATGAAGCTTGTGGCCACAAAACCCCTTGAACATAAAGAAATCAGATTTTTGCCCTTTTATGGTTATTAAGATTAAAGAGATGCTATCATATTAAAGTTATTTAATATTTACATTAATGCTTGAGGTGATGGAATAGAGCTTTCATTAATTCTCTTAGGGAACACCTAGGCAGTGTTTTACGAAGTATATGCATCAACCATGTGTCAGAATCACCTGAGATACACCACAAACTACTACACAGCCATTAAAAATCAGATCATGTCCTTTTCAGCAACATAGACATAGCTGGAGGCCATTATCCTCAGTGAATTAATGCAGGGACAAAACCAAATACCACACGTACATCTCACTTCTCTCAGTAAGAGCTAATTGGGTACACGTGAACATACCAATGGGAACAAACCCTGCTGGCTACTAGAGGGGCGAAAGAAGGAGGGGAACAAGGGCTGAAAATCTACCTACTGAGTACTATGCTTGCCACCTGGGCGACAGGCTCACTTGTACCCCAAACCTCAGAGTCAATGCAATATACCCATGTAACAAATAACAAACCTGCCTCATGTACCCCCTAAATCTAAAATAAAAGTTGAAATTACTTTAAAAAAAAAAAAATCACCTGAGAATATATTACTGACTCTAACCAGACCTGGTCAGACAGAATCCTGGAGGTGAGGCTAGAGAATGAGTATTTTTATCAAACTCTCCAGGTTATTTTTAGACATAATAAAGTTAGAAATTAAGAACCACAGACCTAGAAAATGACTAACAGCATTTAGTTAAATGGTTTTCAATTAAAGTATATTGAACAGAATTGATCATATTCAAAGATCATTAAGAAAGGATGTTTAGGAACAGTGTAAAAGAAGACATCTGGAAAGGGAAAAAACGTTGAAAATATAATGGAAAAAGCTAGAATGATTACAGTAGGTAGTTTAAATCTGCAAAGAAGTACCAAAATTTTTCTTGAACGAAGGAGGGTACAGATAGAAAGGTTTAAGAATGTGAAGAAAATCTTTCCATTTGTATTATTCTGCAAATTTGTATTATTTGGATTTGTAAACGTAGGTTCTACAACCAAGGAAGAACGTAAACAGTTCAGATCCTGTTAAAGGAGGGCTGGACAGTAGACTCAGTGTTAGGAGTAAGAACTAGGGTTAAGGGGAATTACAATAATATGAATTAATGTTAACTATAAAATAATGTAATACAATAATACCAGGCACTGTAGAAATCAAAGCTCTTCAATGAGCTTCAGATCTAACACTGAAAGTCTAATAAATCATGTTACTGAATTATACATACTCTGAAGGTATCTGTCTTTGTTCCATCATGACCATAATCAGCAACCAGTGCAGCACCTCCAGTTAATGCAATGCGTTGAGAAAGTTCCTCAATGATAACACCAGCATCAGGACACACTTCAACGTGATCCCTTGTTTCATCATGCTGGTAAAGGGATCATTACAAAAGTCAAAATGCATCATTCAAAAGACTTACTTCCATACGGTTTTTCAGGTTTTTCCTCAATGAGCATTTCTTAGTTTTAATAAATTTTCTTAATATGAGTATGTTCTCTACACTCAACTTTTCACCTGACTCCCTTATTTATACAAAACTCCTTAGTTCTTTGATGCTATCCACTTGATTTATGAAGACATTTTAATCTCTTTTACAAAAAGACAAATGCCCTCCCAATCCCCCCAGATGGCCTAGAGCATTATCATTTTATTTAATGTAAAATACTTTTATATCACAAATCATATAAATATATTCCTCTAGGTTGAAAGCATGGGAAAGGAATTTTTGTCTGCCTAGGACATAGTCAATGAAAATATTGTGTTGAAAGAACAAATCATATAAATCCAGTAACACAAAGCAGACCCTATTAGACAAGTATATTATCATGCCCTCTGTTGTGCCAGAAAGTATCCCAATGATATGCCCTACATCAAGAAACATCAGCTTATAAACTAGTGCCAATGTATTGAAACCATTATTACCCCAAGATGTTCACTTATTAACTAAGGGGCCACAATAAGTGTGTACTAGCTTAAAAAACGAAATGACACTAAGTATTAGTACTTGCCAACCTGACTAGTATATATGAAATTTCACTACTTCCTGATCTGATTGAAAATGTGGTATTTCTTTCCCTTTATTATGAAAACATACATTAACTTGTGCTCCTCCCTAACACATTATAGAAATGCAGTAATGACCTGCCCTGATGTCTGCCTACGGTAACAGGCATAGAGTCAGATGGAGTTGAATCTCAGCTCTTCCTATGCTTACTGGTAGACAAGTTACTTAAACTTTTTGAGCTGCTTTCTTCCTTATAGATATTGTAGGTTTGTTGTGAGGATTAAATATAATAAACCATTGAGCCAATTGTGCAATGAAATTACTGTGGCTTAACTATAAAAACCATGAAGTCAGCCTCATCAGGCATCAGTGGACACGCTGATCATGCTGACATTCTTACTATCTTAGGCTACTCTTCAAGGTGACATGTATTACCATTCATCTCATTCAAGCAAAAGGGAAAATTCACTTCCTCCCTCCCAAGTGAATACTAATTAGGTCAATAACTTAATGAACTCCCAGGACCAGGAGGTTAGTTCTTGGTGGTTTTATGAATGTGTCATTCAGGTAGGTTGCCATAATATGAAAAAACCGTTGTTCACAAGTGTTCCGTCTGACATTTAAATTTATACTTAACAAAGAAAACTTAATTCATACATTTAAGTATAAAAGCTCTTGTGCTTTTAAAACTGATAATTTCTGAGTAGGAAGTTCTCAGTTAAGGTCCAGGAACTAAAAATCATCTTCTGAGTTGGAAAAGGACGGAAAAAAAAGAAGCAATCTGAAGCCTGGACGTTCCTGAGAAGTACAGGGATTTTTTGTACCTTTAAACAAGCCAAGATAGACAGGCTCTTGCGATGATTCCTTGAGATCAACAGAAAGCAGTAGTAATTCTACCATTCTGGCAGAATCAAATTGAGATCTGCGTGGAAGCATGGGATAAAAGCCATGCTCTAGCCCAAAGAAAGATAATAGAACCTACCTAATACAGGGCTTTGAGAATTAAATGCAAAAACAGAGTAACACAAAGTACTCAACAAACGTTAGCTGTTATTGTTAATTAATTTACTATAGTCTGTACTACATTGTTTTCACAGATGTAAACTCTTCCTGTGGACAATACCATTACCATTTGACATGAAACTGAGGTAAACAGTGAAAGTAAGAGACTTGGCTGAGTAAGCGGTTACTAACTTTCTCTTACTACATCACATTAAGGTCACAGATTTAAGAAATGATTTTAACCCATGCTCCTGCCTCTAGCTCCTCTGCACATTCACTGTCAATAAAAAGCACCTCCTATGCTATTAGCAACTCTTCCTGTAAAGGAACTCTAAAGTAGTGACTCAGAAAATAAGACTTTGAAGATTCTGTGAGCAATAAAAGAAACTTAAAAGAGCATATTCTTACTTGTATGAAGGCTTCTGCTGGGGTGGCAGAAGGTGCCAAAACAAACCTCAGTTTATCAGAAACCTGTGGATCAATGTCAATGAATACTTCTCGCCATCCCTGTGGTGTCTTCTAAACACAAAATAACACATAAAAACAAATGTTTGCAAGTCTGTTCTCTACATTGCTTCTACCAAAAATAGCTTTTTCTCCTCTTACCATAAGTAACTAACATTTACAGGGCACTCACTATTTAAAATTACTTTAATGCATTACTTCATTGCCTTTGAACAATGAGTAGACTGATCGATGCAAAAGAAACAATAACAGAGATGAGGCTGTGGAAGATAAAATCAGCAGCTTGCAAAGTACCCAAAAAACGGAAATAGACTCAGGAGGAATAGCCAGAAGCTTCACTAACACATTACCACAGAATCATGAGAGCTGCTCTTCTCCATACAAATTACCAGGACACATACATTATCACCGAATCTTAAATCTCCTCAAAGAATGAAGAAAAGTTTTATTTATTTTTTTTTTTTTTTGAGACAAGGTCTCGCTTTGTCGCCCAGGCTGGAGTGCAGTGGTGCATCTCAGCTCATTGCAAGCTCTGCCTCCTGGGTTCAAGCGATTCTCATGTCTCAGCCTCCCGAGTAGCTGGGAAGTACAGGCACCTGCCACCAAGCCCAGATAATTTTTGTATTTATAGTAGACACAGGGCTTCGTCATGTTGCCCAGGCTGGCCTTGAATTCCCGACCTCAAGCGATTCACCCACCTCGGCCTCCCAAAGTGCTGAGATTCAGGTGGAAGCCAGCATGCCTGGCCCCAAAAATGTTAATCTATAATTTTTTTTTAATGTGCTAAGGTTGGCTGGGTGCAGTGGCACACACCTGTAGTCCCAGCTCCTTGGGATGCTGAAGCAGGACGAACACTTGAGCCCTGGAGTTCAAGACCAGCCTGGGCAACATAGCAATATGCTCTCTCTTTAAAAAAAAAAATTTGCTCAAGTAAATCCTTCATTGCACCACAGCCAGTTACCATCTTACCATTTTTCATTCCCTTACTTCTTCAAATCAGAAGAATTAAGAATTCTTAATAATTATCCCAGGAGAACTACAAATTCTCATTAACATTTCATTTTTGCTTTCCAATTATTTATGTGTATCAAAATTCCAAATAATAGTTAAAAATAACCTCAAGGAGTAAAATTTGTATACTGAATAAACACCATAAACATTGGCAACACAACGCCTTTTGTATTCAATTATAGACATGACTTTTTCCCCCCTCAATACCTGAAATTTATGCACAGGAAGAACATCAAAAAATTCATGTGCAAGATAAAAGCTGTATCCTATTTAAAAAGAAGAAAAGAATTAATGTTTCCACATTTTACAGGAATTAATTCTTTTGAACATTAACTGTAAAAAAGAAAATGCCTACTTCCTCCATAATCATCACCACCACAGAATTCTCTACCTCTTCATGGAAAACTTACACTGCAGAACACGTAAAAGAACAGTTACTACCACTCTTACTTTACATATAAATGGGGTCAGAAAATGGAAATACCTGAAATAGCAGTTACATCTTTTATCCATCACTAGGCTCGAAGGAAATTAGAAGTCAGATTTGTTAGCTGGAAGGGAATTTGCTTTCATAAAATCGGGTTTCTCAGCCTGAGAAGGCTGAGGCCGGGAACGGCTTGAGATGCCTTGCCCAAGATCGTACCCCCATTTTAGCTTTGAGTCAAGATTCATCAGTATTCCTGACTAGTACACGGATGTTCCCCCACACCTTGCTTGTCTTTAGGAAGTAAGGATTTTCAAAAGATTCCATAACTGAACTAAACCCACCTACTAACACTGCTTCCATCAGCCCCGGCCGCCTCGGGCTGCTCCATCATCGGAGCTATCCTAGCTATAGGGAAATACTCAAAAGTACAACGGAGATTTACATTTTGTTTGGGTTCTACAAAACTACATGAAATAAACTACTACTTAAAGTCAGGCAACTTTATTTTCTATTATGATGCTCTTTTCTAGAAAAAAGTAGGCTACTCTCTATGGATAAGGGACTTGGTAGCAGTAACTCATAATCTGTTCTATTGCTGTAAAAAGTTACAGTCCCATCACTACTGTAAGGGTTGTGATCAAAATTCTTTCATTAATCCACGTAAAGGTAATTACCTTTTGGAACATCGTGCAGATGTCGGTACCAGGAAATTGGAATCCCAGACTTAGTGACACCTTTCATATACACTGGGGATCCAGCATTTCGCTCTAACGGGACCTTCTCTTCAGTCAGTGTCAATGCTTGAATCTCACTTAATTTTTGGCTTACCTCTACCAGATGTACTGAAATGTCACAGTTTTTCAGCACAGATCCAAGTTGAGTGAACACCTAAATACCAAAAGAAGAAAAAAAAACACAATGTGTTAAGTAGGTTTAGTTTCCTAATCATTCACATCAATGATTTAGTCATGTCACAATAGAAGTAATACTTCAGAGAGGTGTGTTCCTTACCCAAGCCACTCTCCAGCAGTCTGTAAGAATCATAACCTATTAGTTATTAAGCATAATTTAAATAAGAAATGAACCATGCACAATTTGGTTTCCTAATGATAAATTATGATTAACAAATGAAAATAAAAGACTTGGCATCTGATAAATTATGATTAACAAATGAAAATAAAAGATTTGGCATCTGATAAAAATGATTCAGATTATGGAGTCTAAAAAAAGACCAAGGAAATAAAATGGGGAGAGCCTTGCTTTGATAATGTCTCTAGGTCTAGGAAATAATCTCATCTTTGAGATGATGATAACTCTAACCTCAAAGAACCAAATCTGAAAGACAACGACTGCTTAACTCAGGGGTCTGCCACATTTTCAATCTATATTTAGCTATATATTTTTTCACTGTTGTAAACATCAAGGGAAAAATGAAAATACTAATATTTTACCAATCTTTTAAGGCTAAAAATTCAATAGTAAAAGCATAAAGTATATCAACATTATTTTTCATTTGAATTTAATTTTTACTGGTGATCTGCCTCCAATTAATACTTTTGAGATATGAATATGCATATCCAGACTGATAATATGAACAAGATGATTTTTCCAAATTTAGTTTTGAGATCAAAATACAAATGGAAAAACATCACAGGCGAAATTCCTTCAGAAGGTAACATCGAAAATAAAACAGGTCTGATACTTCTCTGGCTATTTGCTTTACAACCCTTTAAATTCTTTGGCTTTTTAGGAGTTCTTATGACTCAGTCTGGAAAAGCATCCTTCATACATTTTAAGGGCTCTGGAATTGACTTTTAAAGTACTTGAACATGAAAATATGATTTGAGGTCCTTATTAAATATTTGATATTCAAATGACCTTGCTGAAAAACATAAAATAGAGCCCTGGACATTTAAATTCATGATTTTGTTTTCTTTCTTCACCCAAATAACCAAGATTCTCATTTGTCATATGTTTATATATTTTTTAAATCCTTCAATTTCTAATTTAAAGCAAAAACCATAAAGCATCAAGAAATTTAAATTTATATTGAGTATGTGTTGGTGTTTCTTTTTTTTTTTTTTTTGAGACAGGGTCCCACTTTGTCACTCAGAGGCATGATCACAGCTCACTGCAGCCTCAACCTCCTGGGCTCGAGCAATCCTCCCACCTTAGCCCCCCGACTTCTTCGACCACAGACGCGTGCTACCACGCCTGGCTAATTTTTGTACTTTTTGTAGAGATGGAGTTTCACCCTGTTACCCAGGCTGATCGTGAACTTTGGGAGCCTTGGACTCCCAAAGTGCTGGGATTACAGGCATGGGCCACTGCACCCAGCTATGTTTGTTTTTTTTTACATTGAATTGCCAGGTACATAAAAAATACACTCAAAAAGACTATTGAGTTCTGAAATACTAGAAACTACAAAAGTTTAATAAACACTCTTACTTATCAGGTACTATAAACAACTGTCCTCCTTTTTAATGGTTTTATAAAATAGTACATAGACTGATAGCAAGAATGATACAGGAGAGAATAGCCACCATCTGGTTAAAGAAATGGGACATGACCTTCTCTCTAAAGCCCCTGTGGACTCCCTGTACCCTCAGAAGTCGCCACCATTCTGAATCTTCAGTTAATAATACCCTGACTTTTCTTTATAAATGTTGCTAAATATATTTTTATCACCAAATATATATTGTTTAATGTTGACTATTTTTTGGATTTTATATAATCATATGATATGAACTCTTTTGCAAACTGCTACTTTCACACATCTTGTTTCATGTTGAATACTGTTATATTCCGCTGTGATTTCACGCATTCTTGCAATACTTCGTATTCCACTGTATGACTGTACCACAATTAATTGATTCATTTACCCACCTGATAGGCATTTGTGCTGTTTCAGTTTTCTGCTCTTTTATTCAATGCTGCTATCTTCTTGTACGTGTCTCCTGGTACACATATACACTAGTTTCTCTAGGGTAAATCACTAGCAGTAAAATTGCTGGGTCATACAATATCAGAAACTTTGATGTTAACAGATAACGGCCAATAGCTTTTCGAAATGGTTGTACAAGGCTGGGTGCGGTGGCTAACGCCTGTAATCCCAGCGTTCTGGGAGGCCAAGGCAGGTGGGCCACTTGAAGCCAAGAGTTCAAGATCAGCCTGGCCAGCATGGTAAAACCCCTTCTCTACTAAAATACAAAAATTAGCCGGGTGTGGTGGTCCACGTCTATTATCCCAGCTACTCAGGAGGCTGAGGCACAAGAATCACTTGAACCTGGGAGGCCAAGGTTGCAGTGAGCCAAGATCGTACCACTGCACTCCAGCCTGAGAGACAAACCAAGGCTCCATCTCAAACAAAATAAAAAAAGGATGTACTAAATTATACTCTTACAAGCAGTATATGACAGTTCCCATTGTTCCACATATCCGCATCTGCACAATACTTGGTGTTGACAGACTATTAGCTTTCTTTCTAATCTGGCGAGGGTTACAGTGGTATCTCATTGTGATTTTAATTTTCATCTCCCTGACTACCAGTAAGACTAATATTTTTGTTTTGCTTTTTTAGTCGTTTGTATTTTCCTCTTTTATGAATGGACTTGTTCACATCTTTGGCGTGATTTTTCTCAAGTTATCTGTCTTCTTATTGACTTAAGGGAGTTCTTTAAATATTCTAACTACTAGTTATCTGTTGGTTACATGTCACAAATAACTTCTCCCACTCTGTGGTTTGTCTAATCACTCTCCTAATGGGGTCTTTGAAGAACAAAAAGTTGCTAGTTTATTTGTAGAGCAAGAAGTTCTTAATTTAAATGTAAGAAATGAAATTATTAATCTTTTTCTTTACATCTTCTTTTTTTTTTTTTTTTAAATATAAAAAGAGACGAAGTCTTGCTTTGTTGGCCAGGTTGGTCTTGAACTCTTGGCCTCAAACAATCCTCCCACCTTGGTCTCCCAAAGTGCTAGGACTACATGCATGAGCCACTGTGCCCATCCTAAACTTTTTTTTCTTTTTTTTTGAGACAGAGTCTCGCTCTGTCACCAGGCTGGAGTGCAATGGCACGATCTCGGCTCACTGCAACCTCTGCCTCCTGGGTTCAAGCGATTCTCCCGCCTCAGCCTCCTGAGTAGCTGGATTACAGGTGCGCACCACCACGCATAGCTAATTTTTGTACTTTTAGCAGAGACTGGGTTTCACCATGTTGGTCAGGCTGGTCTCAAACTCCTGACCTCTTGATCTGCCCACCTTGGCCTCCCAAAGTGCTAGGATTACAGGTACGAGCTACCACGCCTGGCCTAAACTTTTTATATAATTAAAAACTTTGCTTCCTGAGAAAACAAATACACTTTCCCATAATGTCTTCTAAATGTTTCCTATTTTTAGCTTTCATATTCTTCTCCCCCTCGCCTCCATTTTTTAAGCTTACAGACAACAGTAATGACTGATTACATTATTCTGACATTATATTTTAGCTGAGATATGAGATTAAGGAACTGAAAACCAATGAAATCAACGCGGTTTGCACACTCAGAAGTACTAAAATTCACTTACATGAAACTTAAAGACATTCTTTTATTACCTACCCTCAAAATATCTCCCACGAGGGTTCCCCTACCTGGGCCCAGTTCCACCAGCTGGAAAGCTGTGCTTTTTCCAGTGGCCATCCATTCACTAATGAACCATATCCCTAGTAGCTGTGACAAGGAAAACAAAAAAAAATACATATTAAGGTACCATAAAGTATAAAAGTATACCACAATATAAAATTCCACATAAATAGGCACTATATGCCAAAAAGCAAAATGTGTACAGCCATATGTATGTTATTTAATACACGCATACATGTACACATAGGAACTTCCTGGGACTATAACATATACCATTTAGGAAGATTAACAGGAAAAAAAAAGGCAGCCTCTGCTATAAAAGGTCCCATGACATAGATAACAGGATATCACTACCAGAAAAGTATTACTATTTGAAAGCAAATAAACAGATGAAATGTGATTATGCCATTTCTTCATATTCATATGATTTAAACAATTACATGACTCTGATAATAACCTAATGTTTTTCAATACTCACATTCTACTTCCTCTTATACACTATTTCCTATTTCTAAATTCATAGAAAGTACTTAGTAGAAATGAACTAGAATTCTGTTTATTAAAGGAAGATTTGGCCGGGTGTGGTGGCTCATGCCTGTAATCCCAGCACTTTAGGAGGCCAAGGCGGGTGGATCACCTGAGATCGGGAGTTCGAGGCCAGCCTGACCAACATGGAGAAACCCCGTCTCTACTAAAAATACAAAATTAGCCAGGAGTGGTGGCACATGCCTGTAATCCCAGCTACTCAGGAGGCTGAGGCAGGAGAATCGCTTGAACCCGGGAAGCGGAGGTTGCAGTGAGCCAAGATCGCACCATTGCACTCCAGCCTGGGCAATAAGAGCAAAACTCTGGCTATAGAGTTTTAGATAAACAAAGGAAGACTTTTACGGTAACTATGGTTAAAATCATGACTGGCAGCTTTAGAGCTTATCTTAATTCCACTGATTCTTCAATGCTCTTTTTTATCTTTTCTCTCTTCCTTCCTGGGCACTCTACCTCTTTCCTCGCCTTTCCTTTTGTCTCTCTTCCTTCTTCCATTCTCTTATTTCATCTGATTCTCCTTTTTCTGTCCTCTTTATGACCCCCTCCCTTCCTTCTCTTTCTCTTTGTCCCTCTTATCTCTCCATTTCCCTTCCTACAGTGGAGTATAAACTTTTCAAATATTCTACCATTTTCCTCCCCTCTACTGCCTCTCTATTGCCTCAGTACATCAACTACTATAAAGTTAAAACTTTTGATGAATCACAAAAGAAGCTGTAGAACACTACTACAGAACAATACATTTGATCTGTACAAACAAACATTTGATCTGTTCTCAAATGTTTATATTAGCTTCATTCATACTTTACATTGGACATTACCTCCCCAAAGATCTGACTTATTTCAGGTGAAGTAATGAAATCTCCTTGTTTGCCTAGCATGTCACGGTATACATAATAACCCTGAGTAAAAGGAGAAAATGGAGAAACAAAATTAATTTTCAAATAAGCCTTTTAAAATACCCCTCCAAAATCGTAAATAATGTAAAAGTGAAATAATCATTTAGTAAGAAAGCTCTCCTCTAAACAAGCAAGGGAAACGTGGTGTCTTTATCCAAATTTTAGAAAGTAGCAGTCATTTTACAAAACTGGTAGAAAAACAATTACACCTTGACCATAAATGCAGAAGTCATGTAACATCCACCTCTGCATGCCAGACCCTTCCTCCCCTCCCAGCTCCCACAGCCGACACAGCAAGACCCCGCCTACTCCTCCAGCCTCCTCTCCGAATTCTAACACTTTCCGTCTCACATATGGGCCCTGCCTGCTGGTGATGATCTGTTTCTTGATCTGGGTGCTGGTTACATGGGAGCATTTCCTTTGGGAAAATTCATGGAGCTGTAAACTTGTGATTTATGAACTTTTCTGTATGACTATTGCATCTCCAGAAAAAGGTGAGTTTTTTTTGTTTTTGTTTTTGTTTTTAGTCTTGCTTGTCCAGATATCCATGCCACCGCAAATCCTTACCCTTCTCCCTTTTCATCTCTCCCTGGCAGTCTTATACTCATCCTCTGAATCTGCTCATACGCCACCTAGCTGACCTCCTCCAGCCCTCCAACCTAACACCAAATCCAGTGCCACCTTTTCTGAGCTTATTTGTCTATGTTCTTCACCACAAAGTCTAGTTGTTTGCAGAAGAACATGCCTTATCTATCTTCATATCCCAGGTTTTAATATGATGCCTAACCTTCAAGAAACACTCAAGAATTGTGTTAAAAATGTCCTAGGCTTCTGAAGCTCCTATTCTACCACCTTACTTCAGATGACATGGGCCCTAGTCTCACTGCAGAATTTAAAAATGTTATAGAATACAACTGCCTCAGCTTCCCAACCCCACCTTGGCCTCCACCTAATCCCATTTGTTTCTGGGGACTCAAGAATGAAACACATGCCGCTTCTCCCCTTCTCCAAACCTAATCCCTCCGCCTGTGCTCCGGATTGCCATTCCTCATACAACTCCCCTGGGTCCATTTAGCCGTCCCCCTCTCTCTTCCACCTTCAACTTTCCCCTTTCAGCATTCAAAATAAATCAACTCACTCCCATCTTTAAAAAAAGTTTCTCATGCCATACAACATCTCTCCTTCTAGGCTTTCTAGTTCCATTCATAAAGAAACATGATAGGGGTATTTGCCCTTTTTTGTGTTATGAACCACTGTGGTAGTCCAGTGAAGCCTATAGACCCCTTCACAGAGTGTTTTTAAACGCACAGAACCACAAAGAAATACCTGAAAAATGTGTATCAAATGTTTTTAAAAATGTGATATATACACTTCTTTACTAGCGTATTTAAAAAAACATAATCAGGCCGGGCACAGTGGCTCACACCTGTAATTCCAGCATTTTGGGAGGCCGAGACAGGCGGATCACATGAGGCCAGGAGTTCAAGACCAGCCTGGCCGACAAGGCAAAACCCCATCTCCACTGAAAATACAAAAAACCTAGCTGGGCATGGAAGCATACACCTGTAATCCCAGCTACTCGGGAGGCTGAGGCACAAGAATCCTTTGAAACTGGTAGGCGGAGGCTGCAGTGAGCCGAGATCGCACTACTGCACTCCAGCCTGGGTGACAGAATGAGACTCTATCTCAAAAAGCAAACAAACAAAAAAGCCCATAATCAAGCCAAAGACCCAATAATTAACAAAATTTTGAAGTAAGGATGAGCATGATGAAATTCTGAGATGCCTGTGATCACTGTATTGTGATAAGGAAATACCAATGATTTCCACAGATGACAAATTCACAAGTATTGCTGATGCTACTGGTTGCTGCGTATGTTCATAATTGAAGAAATGCTAAATTTCAGTTGAAAGTTAGTAAAAATAAAGGTGTAATTTTTTTCCATCCAGGTTCATGAAACCCCTGATTTCTATTAAAGGGTTCCTAGGTTAAGAGCCTCTAACTTTTAGAGTTACCCCAAGTCTCAATGCTGGGAAACCTTCCTTTCTCTCAGTACATTCTCCTTGGTTCCTTGGCTTTCAATATCACCTACATGCTGATGATGAGCAAATGTATATATGCCTGCCCAGTCTTTCTTCTGAACGCCAGGCTCTTTTTTTTTTTTCTTCTTTTTTTGAGACAGAGTCTCACTCTGTTGCCCAGGCTGGAGTGCAATGGCGTGATGTCGGCTCACGGCAACCTCTGCTCCTGGGTTCAAGTGATTCCCCTGCCTCCTGACTAGCGGGGATTACAGGCACCCGCCACCACACCCAATAATTTTTGTATTTTTAGTAGAGAGGGGGTTTCACCATGTTGGTCAGGCTGGTCTCAAACTCCTGACCTCGTGATCCACCCGCCTTGGCCTCCCAAAGTGCTGGGATTACAGGCGTGAGCCACCATGTCCGGCCCTGAACGCCAGACTCTTACAGCCAATTGCCTACTTTCTATCTCCACCTGGATGTCATTGCTAACAAAATATGTATAAAATGCAGCTCCTGGTGTAGGCCCTCTCCCCAGCACTCCTCCAAACCCGGTCCTGTCTGTCTTAATCTCAATAAAAGGTGCCGTCACCACCTAACTGCTCAAGCCAAAACTACGAATCAGCCTTGATTCCTCCGTTGCATCACTCAATCCATCGGCAAATCCTGTCAGTCCTTTTCTAAACCACCCTCTTCTATTTCTAGTACCACCACACTAGTCTAAGCCACCTATCTTGCAGCCTTGCCCACCAGCATTGAAAGAAAGATACCGGCCTTGGGTAAACCTCGACACTGGAGTCACGCCACCATATCCAACAGCAATGGCCAAATCAACCCCAGAATTCCACAGAGGTCATATTTCAACCCAGCAAAAGGTGAAATATTCTAAAATAAAGGACTACAGGCTTTCACCAAATGGCTCTATAGAACAGACAAGGAAACGTGGGTCAGAAAGCTGTGACTGTGCCTAATCTTAGAACAGTGCAGACCCAGACTGCATTCTCAACTGCACATGTGAGAAAACCCAGCACATCTCTCCAGTGCCAGCTGAGGCCACTCCAACAAGGCAACTTTTCAGGCAGTAATTCCTATTTCCAGATGCCTGTTGGAGATTTCCACCTAAGAGTCCTACAACACTTCAGATTCATATACCAGCCTGAACTCTCCATCCTTCCTCCTACATTCCTTCTCCCAGAGCAATAATCCACATCACCTACCATCAGCCAAGTAGGAAAGTCATCCTTCCCGCATCATAAATCCAATCAGCTACATTCTGTCTCCTAAACACCCTTGGACCGTGTCCTCTCCTGTTTATTGGCCCTGCCTCTGATGTGAGCCAGCCCTGCCCAACTGACAGATTATCTGTCCCCAGGTCCTCAGAAATGGCTCTTCCCCTGGCAGGCACCCCCACTGCCTGGGCTGAGGACCTTCGGGCTTCTCCCTCCTGGCTCGCACCTCGCAAATCGGCTAGAGAGGGCCTAGTCCTCGGGCTACCCGACCATACCTTGGCTGGATTAGTCAACACCTCCTTCATGTACTCGGCCACAGTGATGGGACCAGTAGACTTTATTTTGTACATAAGATGCCGCAGCATCGGCGTCACCGGGTTGTTTTCTGCAGGTTCATTCCCGGAGCTGAAGTATTTCCCTCTCCAAATAGAAGGAATGGCTGTGAAAAACACAAATCAAACAAACCCCGTGATAAATCTTAACATTCACGAACGCAAGCCGCCTGAGCGTTTTCAAAGCAGCTTCGTAAACCCTTAACCTCACCGTACCGCAGACCTCGGGCTACTGTGCTTTGCTCGCCCCCGGGGCGCAGAGACAGCACGCACTTGCCCACGACTACGCAGCCCTATCGCGTTTGCGCCGGACCCGTTTCCAGCCCAGGGCACCTTCAAGGTGGAAGTGAGCCCCTGAGCCCTTAATTCCCCGGTACCTCAACTGAAGAGCTGAGGAAGGCACCCCACGCGGTTTCCAAGGCAACAGGGCTTCGAGGGGACTGACGCTTACCTGCACGCGCCACGGCACACAGCGGCCCCACACCTGACCTCACCAGAACAGTCATGCTGAAATTCGCAGGGCGGCTCTCTCCGCCAGGAGCTGAGGCTTAGGCTATTTCCGGGAGAAGACGCCCCCACCCCCCGGCCGGAATTACGTCACGGGCAGAGCGGAAATAGGCTGAGTTCCAAGAGCGTATGCTCTGCTAGCCATGGCGGCAGCCAAGGAGCCTTTGGAGTTCCATGCCAAGCGGCCTTGGCGCCCCGAGGAGGCAGTAGAAGATCCGGACGAGGACGACGAGGATGATGCTAATGAAACCGAGAATGGGTTCTCCCTGGAGGAAGTGTTACGGCTCGGAGGCACCAAGGTAACTGCCGCGGGCTCCGGGGAAAGGGGTCAGACGTGGGCAGTCCCTAATGTTGCTAGGCTGACTGCCCCGCCGCTTCCGCGCTGCTTAGAGCGCGGGCGTCCAGGACCCAGATCCCAGATCCCAGCCTCGGAAGCATGTGTTCTGTGAGCTTCCCACGCTGGTTTCCAGGGCTGTTTACAAAAGAAAAGTTTCCCGTTGAACGTCGTATTCTCTGGCCTTTCTTAGGATGTAGGCGATCCTCTCATTTTATTAACGTGGTATAACCATCACACCATCAGGTCGGAGAGTAGCTTTTCTTGGTCCCGACCTTGTGGTATGAGTATTTTGAACACCAGTGGTATTGGAATTTTCATTTCTGTTCTCGTGGAGTACGTGCACGTGTCACTGTATGCCCCAGAAGCCCTCTTTTTTGGAACATCCTAATTAAGGGACAGAAACAGTAAACAAACTTTTAAATACATAGTACAGCAGACACGGGGTAGTGCAAAAGGACGATAAGGAGTGGGAGCGCGTTAGTATTAAATGAGATGATCGACAAACACATCACGGAGATGTTTGAGCAGAATCCTAAAGGAGAGGAAGGAGTGAGCCATGTGCCATTCTGGTTGGAACAGAAAATGCAAAGACAGGCAGAAGAGTGCCTGACCTATTCCATGAGCAGCCAAAATGCCAATGTAGCAGAGGCAGAGTGAGGTAAGGGGAGAATGGTAAGAAATGAGGTCCAAGGGGTAAGAGGGCAGGCTTTTGCTCTGAGTTTGATGCAAAACCACTGGAAGATTTTAAGCAGATAAGGGACAGAAATTAACTTTGTTTTTAATATTATTTTGTTTGGAGACTGGACTTTCAGGGTGGAGGAGTTGGTTAGAGATAAGTAGATTCACAGTTTTGCTCTGTGCTTGTGTATATTTAAGTTTTGAATAAGTAATATATACACATGATACACGTGATACAAACTTTAAAGATACGTAGTGAAAAGTCCAATTTTTTCCACTTTTATCTCAGCCGTAACAATTGCCCTGATAAGAAGCAATTATTTTTACAAGTGTAGTTTATATCTTTCAGGGATACTGTATACCTTTTCAAGCATATACATATTTATGTGTATGAAATACGCGTGTATTATTTTTTACATGAATAGTACCATATATATACACCTATCTATATTTTGCTCTCTTTTCTCTCTTAGAAATCCTTCTATATCAGTGCATGAAGTTCTGTGTTATTGATATGGCTGCATAAATCATTTTGTCTGTCTTAATTTATCGAACCAGCCACTTATTGTGGATATTTATTGCCAGTCTTTCACTATTTTAAATAATACTACAGTTAATAACCTTAATCGTAATATTTTTTTCCCCACTTTTGTAAGTGTATATGTAGTCCAAATTTGTAGAAATGAGCCAGGCACAGGGGCTCACACCCATAATCCCAACACTTTGGGAGTCGGAGGTGGGAGGATACTTTCAGTCCAGGACTTTGAGACCAGCCTGAACAACGTAAGGAGACCTCATCTCAAAAAAAAAAATTTTTTTTTAATAGCTGGGCGTGTAGTCCCAGCCACAGGCTGAGATTGGAGGATCACTTCAGCCTGGGAGGTTGAGGCTACAGTTCAACCATGGTCAAGTCACTGCACTCCAGCCTGGACAACAGAGCGAGACCATGTCTCAATCAATTAGTTAATTTTTAGAAATGAAGCTGCTGGGTCAACAGATGTGTGCCTTGTATTAAACAGTCGTAATTGGAGTTGACAAATTGTCCTCCATGTAGGTTGTGTCAGTTTACACTCACATCAACCATGTATGAAAGTGCCATTTCCCCCACGCCTTCCCCAGCATCACCTGTCATTGTATCTTGCTCATCTTGCAATGTATCTTTGCTCATCTGATAAATTAAAAGATGGATGTATCATGGTGGTTTTAATGTGGATTTCTCTAAATGTCAGTGAGGTTGAGCATCTTTTCATATTTTTAAAGAACCTTTTTTTTTTTTCTATGAACTGTTCATATCCTTTGCACATTTTTCTTTTGGGTTGTCACTTACTGATGTGTAGAAAGTTTTATATTAAGGTGTTAAACCCAATTACTTTGATAGGAATTGCTTGTATTTTTTTTTTCCAGTTTATAATTTGTATTTTTTCCTATATCGAAATAAAAAGTGTGCGTGTGTGTGTATGTGTGTAAAAGAAAGATAGATTTACTTATCCTTTACTTTGTGGACCCTGAGTTTTATGTCAAATTTGAAAGGATTTTTCCAATTCTGAAATTATTTTTAAAATTATGTTGTGTTTCCTATTATTTTATGGTTTTATTTTTCACATTTGTAATGTATTTTTAACTTATGTTTTTAATGCAGCAAGATTACCTTATGCTGGCTACTTTGGATGAGAATGAGGAAGTGATAGATGGAGGCAAAAAAGGAGTAATTGATGACCTTCAACAAGGTGAATTGGAAGCATTTATTCAAAATCTTAATTTGGCCAAGTATACAAAAGCTTGCTTAATTGAAGAAGATGAACCAGCTAAAAAAGAAAATTCCAGCAAAAAAGAAGTAAAAATACCTAAAATAAATAACAAAAATACAGCAGAAAGTCAAAGGACATCAGTTAATAAGGTGAAAAATAAGAATAAGCCAAAACCACATTCTGATGAGAACGGCAGTACCACACCGAAAGTGAAGAAAGATAAACAGAACATCTTTGAATTTTTTGAGAGACAGACTTTGTTACTCAAGCCTGGAGGCAAATGGTATGATCTGGAGTATAGCAATGAATATTCTTTGAAACCCCAGCCTCAGGATGTTGTATCTAACTACAAAACCCTTGCTCAGAAGCTGTATGAGCATGAAATCAACTTATTCAAAAGTAAGACGAATAGTCAAAAGGGAGCCTCTTCTACCTGGATGAAAGCAATTGTGTCATCGGGGACACTAGGTGACAGGATGGCAGCCATGATTCTTCTTATTCAGGATGATGCCGTTCACACACTTCAGTTTGTAGAAACTCTTGTGAACCTTGTTAAAAAGAAGGGCAGCAAACAGCAGTGCCTCATGGCCTTGGATACTTTTAAAGAGTTGCTTATCACAGACCTTTTGCCAGACAGTCGGAAGCTGAGGATTTTCAGCCAGCATCCTTTTGACAAACTGGAACAGTTGTCCAGTGGCAACAAGGACTCAAGAGATAGAAGACTGATATTATGGTATTTTGAACACCAGCTGAAACACTTAGTGGCTGAATTTGTGCAGGTCTTAGAAACTTTAAGTCATGATACATTAGTAACCACTAAAACTCGAGCCCTTGCAGTGGCTCATGAGCTGCTTTGTAACAAGCCTGAGGAAGAAAAGGCTCTTCTTGTGCAAGTGGTAAATAAACTGGGAGATCCTCAGAACAGAATTGCCACAAAAGCCTCCCATCTGTTAGAGACATTACTTTGTAAACATCCCAATATGAAAGGAGTTGTGTGTGGTGAAGTAGAAAGGCTACTCTTCCGCTCAAATATCAGCTCTAAAGCTCAATATTATGCAGTTTGCTTTTTAAATCAAATGGCTCTGTCCCATGAAGAAAGTGAACTGGCTAACAAATTAATAACTATTTACTTTTGCTTTTTTCGGACTTGTATAAAAAAAAAAGATATTGAATCAAAAATGCTTAGCGCCCTTTTAACAGGTGTTAATAGGGCGTACCCTTATTCCCAGACTGGTGATGACAAAGTGAGGGAGCAAATTGACACACTGTTCAAAGTGTTGCATATGGTGAATTTTAATACCAGTGTGCAGGCTTTAATGTTGCTTTTCCAAGTCATGAATTCTCAGCAGACAATATCGGATCGATATTACACCGCATTATACAGGTAAGAACATAGCATTCCAATATGAGACGTGAACTATAACTTGATGTACAGCACAGGCAGTGCCCTCTGTGGGGCAAGAGAAAGAGTTAGAAAATTGGATTTTAGGCCCCCTTAGCAGCTTGCTGCTCGCCACCTTCAAGTAAGTAACTTAATCTTTGTTTCCCTGATGGACACAAATTATATTCGCTGCTTTGAATACATTTTTCATTTTGAGAAGTTGTAAAATACAGAAAAATGCCCAAAAGAATCATTCATATCTACCAGCTAGTATTTCAGAATTAACATTTTGCTATATTTGTTTTAAGTCTTTTGGGATATTAAAGAAATAAAATTGCAGATATAATTGCAGTTTCCGTCTTCCCATTCTCAATCCTGTGTCTTTTCCCTGCTGTCTTTCACAAAATTGAATGTATTCACACAGTAACTCATTCAATAAGTCTTTTCTGAATGCCTACAGTATGGTGTCATGCTCTAGGTGCACAGGAGGCACAGCGAACAGAAATCCCATCCCTGGAGGCACTCACGTTCATATTGGGGGAGGCAGCAGAGAGAGGAGCTGTGGTAAACAAGAAAGTATGTTAAGTAGAGAGTTTTGGGGGGTGCAGGGTTTTTGTTTGTTTGTTTAATGGAAATTAAGATTTTCTTTACTGAATTTTGCAACTCACTCATTGAGGCATATTTTCAGCAATGTGTAAACAGTTTGGAGCTGTTTAAGAGGCAGTAGAACATAACTGTGTTCAAGAAATTAATATATTTCCTTCTAATTCATTTTTATATATTTACATAGATAATCTTGTGAGAAAATGTAGAGTAGTGGTTAGTATCTTAGACTTAAGCCACGCTGCCTAGGTTTGAGTCCCTGCCATTAGTTTTCTGTGTAACTTTGGGCAAATTACTTGATCCCCACTAAAAACCTATTGGTAGACATAATTCATCCCATGTTATCATG